AGGGTCCCTTGTTAGGGTCCCCAATACAGTACGGCACCCTTATAAAAAGGGATCCTAAAAAGGGACCCTAATTCAGTGAACTGCCAACTTGATGAGTGCAGTATCTTCCGGACTTTGTGCGCCATGCCTTCCGTCCGGCCGGCAGGGGCTGAAAACCCTACATACCGGCAGAACCACTTGGGGGTTTCCGAAAATAGGAGACCCTAATATAGTACCCTAAATAGTAGGATCCTTATTATAAGGACCCCAAAGTAAGGTAACCCTAATTTCCGGAAACGCCCACTTCTGAGCGATGGCTTGAACCTGAAGTGAACACCGACCGATCAACATGCCAACAGACATAGTGTGCGGTACGAAGCACATACAGTATTCCTACGGAGTCGCATATTCGCTCACCGAAGCCTCAAAAACCCTAAACCCCAAACCCTAATCCCTAAATCCTAAGCCCCAAATCGGAAAGTGCGAAACACGTGGGGTGCCCTTATGCTAGGCCTCCCCAGTCGTGGTTGCCAAGTACCCCAAGCCACCTGCATCAGCGAGGTCCTATAGCGGTTTAGGGTTTAGGGTTTAGGCTATGGGCTTCCAGGGTTTTAGGGTTTAGGGCTTCTAAGGTTTACCTTAAGGACGACATGAACCCCAAAAGGGAGTAAGGTTCGTAGACCATTTAGGGGTTTAGGGTTTAGGGCTTACAGGGCTTGGGGGGTTTAAGGCAGCCACCAAAACTCAAACCCTAGGACTCACAGAAACCTGCAAACCTGCAAAGCCACAGGCTAGAAACGTTCAAGCCTACACTCATTTGAAAACCCGCTACCCTGACTCAGAAGCCTTACCCTCCAAACTCTAGACAGCAAAACCCTAAACCCTAAACCCTAAACCCCAAATTCGTAAACCCGAGCCCTATAACGCCCTCACGGGTACAGGGCATGGGCTTCGGCTTGGATCGGTTCTTGCCTGCCTGTCGGAGCAGATGCATGTGCCTAAACTCTACAGAACTGGACTAGGGTTTAGGGTCTAGGGTTGAGGGTTTAGGGTTTACTACATACTGAAACTATACAATCCCCAGAGCTCCATGTTGTATATAGATGATACTACTTTGGTGTCTAACTATAAGTAATGCCTACTTGGGGCTGTTGGGAGCCCTAGAGAATGCCTTCTGGAAGCTGCGTGAACGGCAACCCTGATACCCTCAACGCAAAAAACCCAGACTATAGGCCTTAAGACCTCACTCAAAAAAGCCTAGACCCTAGGACTCTGAAGCCCTAAACTGGCCCTAAACCCCAAGATCCCAAACTCTGAACCCTAAACCCTCCTAAGCCCTAAACCCTAACCCTAAACCCTCCTAAACCCTGAATCCCGAAAGCCCTCACCCCTCTACACTGCAAGACTAGACCCTAAAGCTTTAAAGCCCGAAACCATGAATCCCTAAAAATCCTAAAACCCCAGACACGGGGGTTAGGGGTTTAGGGGTTTTGGGAGTTTAGGGGTTTTGGGAGTTTAGGGGTTTAGGGGTTTAGGGTTTGGGGGTTTGGAT